CTCGTATCGTACCCTTCCGTGGAGATTATTTGGTGCTAAAGCCAGAGAAGTGCTATATGGTTAAAGGAAATATTTATCCGGTATGCACTCTAAGAACTGCTAAACCTACAGAAATAAGGGCAATATTACATGGTTATTTCGGTGAGACTGCAGGTAGTGATGCACAGTGTGTGGACGTAGATTCAGTGGCTTTCTGACAGGACAGCTTGTTTTTGTCAGTTCTCGAGGAACGGGTGGAAGTACCATGTGGGAAATTATTGCCGGTCGGGCTTTTTTGGTTGTGTTTTTGGATTTTTAATAGGGAACGAATGAAACATTTACCATTTACCATGATAGTCACATGCCCACAAAGCCTGGCTTCTTTCATTATGTTATAAAACGAACCTGTAGGCAGGATTCAGAAGTCAATGAGGGACAACAGTAAATAATGAATTACTTAGACATAGGGTTTAATCTTGTGTGCTAATACCCAAAGCTCAGATTTAGATATTTGCTTCTCAGCCTCATCTTTGAATTAGCTTTACTTTGTATGACAAAAAGTAGACACGGGAGGAAGAGGACGAGCTTCCTACCATCTAATATAGACAAACAGTGTGATGAAGAGGAGCAATCCCAGACAGAAAGTGAAGTTACTAAGCAAGAAGAGAGAATTCCTAGGGCAGCACTTCAGTTAATTCGTGCAGTACGTTGAAATACTGCCTTTCTGAATATGGACTTAGATTTGCTTGCCAAACACTGGAGCAGGTTGCCCTAGGGAAACTGTGGAACCCTGGGCGTTGGGTGTTTGTCTGACCTCTTCTCCCCGGGAAAGACTCAGGGTTCTGCCCTGGGATGGGAGGGAGGAGCTGGCTGGGATGGGAGCGTGCCTTCCAGCCTTGTTTCGTGGCTGTGTGAGGACAGCTTGTACCCTTGGAGAGTTTTTGTTATGGCCAAGTGTGGTAATAAGATTAGAAAGCTGCACGACTCTCTTAGCGATACGTTACCAGAAGTGCAGCTTGTGGAGTGGTTGCACTAAGCGTTGAAAGTATTAAAAGCATATTTTTCACAGGGAAATCGGTGCGCTGAATACAGAACAGGAACATATCTTGAAGCAGTTTTTAGTCATAACAGTACTGTTTTTTGAGGAATACGCAGCACTTGGTTCTTTTCAGACCATAACGCAGCCACCTGTGGAGTCCCCTTTGCTAAACAGCTGAAGATCCTGACGTGCCGGCGCGTGAAGGGGTGCGCTTGTTTAGTGCTTGTGCCTGCAGACAGACAGCGTAGTGCTGCTTCAGCCTGCACACATAATTACGCTGGGTGCCATTTGCAAACCGAAAAGAAACTGCAGATATTTATTATTGCCATTAATCAGGCTTGCTAACTGCATGTTGTTTTGAGCAATACAGGAACGGTGAGGTTTTCCTAATATTTTATAATCTGTTTTATTGCGGTATAATTACTACTGGTGAATAGCATTAGTGTGTCCTTGGTTTTACTGTGGGTTGATTTATATCCTGAGAAATCACGTGTACTTTTTTTATCTGTTATTTGTTTTGCTTTTACCTGCGACGCAGTTTTACTTGGCCCTGCGCTGTTCTTTAGCATTTTAAATTAGTTACGTGCTATAACTGCACAACGAACAAGCAGAAGAAACCGCGCAGGAGCCAATTGCGTGGTTTTACGACTCGAATTTTGTAGCGATTGGAAATAAAATGGCAAATTGACTTCCTTATTCACTTGTTCATTTAAAAATAGCTATTTCCATTTATTGGGAGGACAGCTCCTTTACTGTGTTTTGGGTTGTTGTGTTCGCTCTCTCACACAATAAACTGTAAAGGTCTGTACTTTGCTCCTCACAAATGTTCTCCATGTTTCCTGGACAAGGTTGTTGAGTCGAGTGGTTGCGTGGCTGTTTCTCTGACCTGGTTTGGAACAGCTGTGATAACTGTTGTATCCTGCTTTAGGTTCCCAACCCTCGGTTCCCTTTCCTGGGGTTTCATTTCACACCGAGAATGGATGGCAGTGTTTGGCTTGGTCCTAACGCAGTACTGGCCTTTAAGCGAGAGGGCTACAGGTTGCTGGACTTCAGCGCTGGAGACTTTTTAGATGCTGTAATGTACAGGTAATATCTTGTCTTTTTGTCTGCTGAACACAGTTATTTAAATGTCAGCTTGTGACTCCGTGGAAGCTAGTTCTTGTCAAAAAGCCTGCTTTTACCAAGTTTTCCATGTGTTTAAAGACAGTTGTGCTGATAAGGGTGGACTTCTCAAGGCACTTTGACTTCACATGATCTAATATTTGAGTTTTCATAAACTGCCAAGACATGTCTCAGCCAGTCTGAGAACGCTGCTGCTCATCGGAAGGTGCTGGTGAGCCGTGTTGCTACTTGTGGAGTTCTGCCAGGATTGGTTTCAGTCCAATGCAGCGTAATATTTTAATCAACCCAGACAGTGCGATTAAAATACCTGCAGAGGAGGCTTGGAAGAGAGAAGATAGGGTGGTCTGAATTGCCGTGTTGAGCTTTATCAGACCATCAATATACATATAAAAAAATGCCCATGTGCAAGGAAATACGTTACAGGCCACAAATGCCGGCTGGGAAGCTGTCTTGGAGAGCGTGTCAGAGGAACTGGCAGTCACTGCTAAAATTGCAAGCATAAACAGAGCTTGTGTAGAAGCTGCAAGAAGTCTTGCTTCTCTATGAGGGACTGGATAAACCATTACCAAGTGCTCAATTCTAGAAATTAGACTCGAAATAGAATGTGAAAATATAGGGGAGGATCCCAGGAGAGGCTGAATAACAGGTCAGGGGACTGGAAAATAGCTTTCTGGGAAACAGCTCAACTTAATGCAGTTTATTAAAGTGAAGAGTTGAAAGCATCTTGATCACTGTCTATAGATTTTTATACTGCAAGACTTGAGGAGAGGAAAGCAAAGAAGATTTGTGAAGACACAGCAAGATTCCTTGACCGAATGCCTAGGGGTTTAGGAGTGTGACGATCGTTTCAGACCGTTTGACTGGACCAGAGAAAAATCACAGAATCACAGAATGTTAGGGGTTGGCAGGGACCTCTGTGGGTCACCCAGCCCAACCCCCTGCCCAAGCAGGGTCACCTACAGCAGGCT